CCTCTGTCCCCTGCCAGATATCCTCAGCCCCCTGACAAAAATCCCCGACAGCAAGTCCCCAGCCCGCTCCTGCCTCCTGGCCAGGCAGCTTGCCCCCTGGCCAGACCTTGTACCCTCACCCCCTCTTATATTCCACCTCCTGCTCAGATCCCATTCTCCCATCCCTATCCCATTCACTGGTATCCCTGTCCCGCATACTGAATGCCTCATTTTTAGCCCCAATCCAGAGGCTGGGGGACCCACAAAATCCACTAACCCTGGAACCCCAGAAGAGTAAATCTGGCCTGAGGCCTTGAACCTCAGTCCTCCCTGCTCCTCTACCCACTATGGGGCTGGTGCACCAGGGGAGTGAGGTGTTTCAGTTGGGGTCACATCAGTGAGGGTTGGGGGGTTTTGGAGGGTTTTTTTAAATGTTTGCTTCTTACTTGTGTGATCCCCGACTGATTTTTCTGTGGGGGTCAGTGGCTCCCAACCCAAAAAAGGTTTCCCACTCCTGCCATAAATAAAGACAACGTTGAAACCTTTCGCGTTGGACATCATATTTTACTTTATTTAAAAATGAAGCCTGGCCAACAAGCCCCCAATTGGGGCCCAGCCCCATCTGGCTGCAATGTCATAATACTCCTGCACACACCCCCTTCCCTGACACCAACCCTGAGCCCATCATACATCTGAACCCCCTGCCCTGAGCCCCTCATACTCTCACATCCCCAAACTCCTGCACCCCCACATCACCACCCCCCTGCCATAAGATTGACAGAAGACAGCCTGAATGTGTGCATGAAGCTGGATTTGACCAGTTATGATGTAAACTTCAAAGAACTGTGCGGAAAGATGCAGCAATAGCAGAAGTCCCATTAAATAAAGTCTATGAGTACAATGATTCATTTATGCTATTAATTATTATGTCAATTATCAATAATCTTAAGTTGTATATTTTCAGTCATGCAAATGGGCATTCTTAGATGCCTATTTGTTGACCACTTGTTCTGAATTTTGATGTAGTTTGGCTCTTTGGTTTGAGAAGGTTGCCGACCCCTGCTCTAAGGTGTCACAGGACGACTCGTTTTTAACCTTAATTCTGGCATGTCTTAACTTTTGAATGCTTGATGTTGCAACCTTACCATTATGTGAATGTAGGTTTGTGTGTGTAATTCAGACAGTACCCAGATGTTTAAGGGCAATCTTAGTGCAACCTTAGGACCATAACCTTACCATTATGTGAATGTAGGTTTTTGTGTGTAATTCATACAGTACCCAGATGTTTAAGGACAATCTTAGTGCAACCTTAGGACCACCTTCTGATATTCAAACTCATGTTGAGCAGTGCCTTATTCCACAGGTGAATGCAAATGAGTCTGAACCCCAGCTAAGGATGTTAACCAGCTAAGCATGAGGCTTATCAGCATGCTTACTGGTTAACTAGGCCTTTCCTGTTAACTCCAGTGGGGGGCCAACCAGGCCAGGCCAAAGCAGCCTTAGCCGTAGCAGGGCTGGTGGATCAGGCAGCAGCAGAGACCGGGCAGTGGGACCCTATGTTGCAGCAGGGCCAGACTGGGCGGGATCTACATCAAAATGGTTAACCAGTGAAGTGCTATTGTTTAACCTGTTAATCGTTTCAACATCCCTAAGCCCAGCTGGTGGAGTTGTTGTAGCTACTGGCTTCAGTGAAGCTGTGCTGACTTAAAACAGGCAATGACCTGGCCTGGTGGCTGTAAACAATCTTTATGGGACCACAGGAAACTTGGCCACACCCATGATAAGTGGACATCCGGCTATCTAAAATCATGCCAGACCATGGAGAGGTTCAACCTGTATTATTTAAACATCTCCTAAGTTCTGATTGGCTCATGACACTTGTAGTGTCATAATGGAGCAGCCAGCCAATAAATTACTCTTAAAGAAGATTTGGTCTATATTAGAAAAGTTGTGCCAGCCTAAAAATCTATTTTAAGAATCCATTACATCTAGTTTAAATTGGTACAATCCTCTAAAGCAGACATGCTTAAAAGCAATTTAAGCAAAGATTAAACCAGTGTAGCTTAATGCAGAAATTTACTGACACAAAAACTAAACCAATTTTGAGCGAGAATTACAGCTGCTTTATTTCACGCAGCACATTTCCAAATTACGTTACATTGATTTAAGACAGGGTTACATTGGCTGACGTGTGTCTATGTAAGGAGTCTGTATCAGTGTCACTGGACTGATTGATTTTAAAAATCAATTAGGTTAAATCGGTGCAACATTTCTCTATATAGACAAGGCTCAAGTATATGTATGAAAATGACAAGAAACATTACGTATATATAGTAGCATCAAACAAATCGACATCGCATGTATTTGGGTAAATTGGGAGAGAATATCGGAAACAGACCTGCTAGCAGTTCCTTGAATTGGGGCATTTGGTTACGGGGGTTGTGCGGCATGTATATGTGTGTATTTGTGGGGGGCATTGCGTTCTCTTTGTGGTGGTGTGCTTTGTGTGTATATACAAACATACACACAAAGAAATTATCTTTACTTTTTCCTCTTGTTGACAACTAAACAACCCTGAGGGTCATCGTTGCTCGAAGTTTCAGTTGTACCAGACAAACTTGTTGCCCAAACGCTCACACCGGTAAATAAGGGATTTCCTTACATCTCAGTGAAATGCACTGGGGGATGGGGTGCTGTGACAGCAGAACAGAAGAGCAATGCTTGTGTGGTTTGGGGTCACAGATACCCAGAGTTTTCCTTGATTCCCCTTTGCTCATATTTCACGTTTATACAATAACACGAGGGTGCACAACACTGTCCATTCACTGTGGTGCTGCAATTAAGTTTCCTTCCAGCAGCTGGTGCTGCCGTTCTACAACCGACATTTGTCAGCACCCTAAAGCAGTGTCTCTCAGCCTTTCCAGGTGGCTGCACCTCTTGCAGGAGTCTGATTTGTCACGTGTACCCCCATGTTTCACCTCACTTAGAAACCACATGCTTAACAAATCAGACCTAAAAATACAAAAGCATCCTGGTACACTACTACTGAATAACTGCTGACTCTCTCATTTTTACCATGTCATTATAAAACAAATGCATTGCAATATAAATATTACTTCCATGGCACTGTACAGTTTACAGAGCAGGAGAAACAGGCCATTGTCTGTATGAGATTTGAGTCTGTACTGACTTGGCTCTTTATGTTGCCTGAAGTAAAACTAGGCAAAGATCTAAACAAGTTGCGCTGTGCCCTGGAAGGCCTCTGGGTACCCTGGGGGTACACATACCCCTGGCTGAGAGCCAGTGCCCCAAAGAAAATGAACTCCCATGGGCCTGATGTCAGAGCGACATGCTGAAGTTTTCTGGGGTCAGAGCTATGGACCAGCTAAGCCACTGTTAACACGTGCTTTCAGTTCTTTGGCAGCAGCCATTCATCACAGTCTCCCAACTTCTAGACCATGTTTGCTCTGTGCCCACAGCCTGCTCCTTATCAGGTGCCACAGCAGTTCTCTCTGCCACGGGACCAATCCTTTAATCCTCACCCAGCGCCCCTCTAACAGCATGTTGGGACTTCCAGATGTCTTTCAATTCCCTACCTCACCCCCATGCTTAGATTTTTATTCCTGTCTCTCAAAGGCCTTCTTACTTAGGGACAACCTTCCTCCCTCTCCCCACTCCCAGTCAAGACTTGCCTTTATTTCGGGATACTTCTGGTATCCTGAAAGAGAGCTGACATCGCCTAAGGATCTAAATCAATGGATGTGGCAAAGTTTCCCTGCAACATCCGTGATCCAGCATGACTTTAGTGAGCCAGATGTCCACTTACCAGGGGTGGGGCCAAGTTTCCCCGAGGTCCCATAAAGTTTGTTGACAGCCACCAGTCCTGGCTCTCAGTGTTCTGTTCTGTTATGTAGCTTTCGCCCAGTAAGCAGGGCAAGTGTTGGTAATGCTGCTTTACAATATGGACCTCCCATGGTTTGGCAAACTCTCTAGTTCAGCATATATCGACCTTCCGTGGTCTGGCAAATTCTCTGGTTCAGGCCTGGTCAGGTTCCGAGGGTGCCAGACTAGAGAGGTTCAACCCACACAAGGCTCTGCAGCAGTAGCTCAGAAGGATAAAGTAACCCCACAGTATTTGGGGCCAGGCCTCTACTGTACCTCAGTGGTTCTATTCCTGTTACAAGGCAGCCACGCAGAGTAGATCACTTATTGCCTCTCTTCCCCACCCATTGGGGCTGGGCAGTGCTGGATAACTGGAAGCCAGAACCCCAGGATAATACACAAATAGGGTTGCCAGATGGTTTAACCAAAAATACTGACCCACCCCCCCCAAAAAAACAGCGGGGAAAAAAATTCTGTTGAGAAAAAAAAAGGGAGGAGACCAAAATTGTTGAGCAAAAAAAAAGGACCTCAAAAAATAAATTAAAAAACCCAACCCAGTGTGGCTCCATTAAGAAATGCTTTTGAGGCTTTTTTTGCCAGCCACCATTTTGCCTCCCTCGGCGGGATTTTTGCCTCCTAGCCAGGGAAAAAAAACCTCAAAAAGCAGAAAATAATGGATATTTTAGGTGTCCGGTATTTTCTGAATTTCTTTACTTGACAGGAGGTGAAAATACCAGACTGTCCGGGTCAATACCGGACACCTGGCAACCCTATACACAAATCCCTCCGGCATACGGAGTACCATCTGCAGTTTCAGAATACCTGGAGCATCACTCGTGGCTCTGCTGGGGGAGTACCATGCCCCATCCCTGCACCCCTCTGGCATGTCACCAGGGGGTGGCACAGAGCGCCTGGGGCCAGGCAGAACATGCCAGCAGCTCACCTGGATGTTCTTCTCGCAGTCCGTCTGGTGGTGCAGCAGGAGCTCGCTCTCCAGCAAGAAGCGCTTGCCACACTTGTCGCAGATCTGCATGCGGCTGTGGGTGACGTTCATGTGCTTCTCCAGGTACCAGCGGTTGTTGAAGATGCGGGGGCACTTCTTACAGGGGTAGTGCTGCTTCTCCTCCAGCTTGACTTTCGGGCCCAGCCCGTCCTGCCCCTTTTTCCTCTTCCTTCCCCGCTGGCCCTCCTCTTCCTCCACCGCCTTGGCCAGATCCTGGGACCTGGTGGACATGGTGGACTTAGTGGCCTTGGACGCCCTGCTCCCCCTGCGGGGCTGTCCAGATTTTTCCCTTTTTGCTTCGGACGCCTCTTCGTCGTCGTCCTCTTCCTCCTCCTCCTCGGTGGTCTCCTCCAGGTCTTCCTCGTCACTGTGCTCCTCCTCTTCCTCCTCCCCCACCTCAGCATCTTCCTCTTCCTCCTCCTCCCCCGCTTCCTCGTTCTCCTCTTCCCCCTCCTCCTCCGTGTCACGCCCATCGCCCTTGGGCCGGCTGATCACTGTTGCGGCTTCACTGGCACTGGGCTTCCCTTCCGGCCCCTTGGAGACATTGAGGGTTTGGTTGTTGAGGTTCACCTCCACAATGATCTGCTCTCGGTTGTAAGAACCTTGGCTGTCCACATCCTCCTCAGACTCCCCACCTTCCATCTTACATATGGTGGCCAGGCCACTGTCCTTCTCCTCCTTGTAATACTGCTTGGCAGCCACAGCTGGGAGATGTTGGTTGCCGCCTCCACCCACCCTGTCCTCTACTCTCACCGAGTAGGGATCGTTTCCTTCCCGGGCGTAGATTTTGGGATGCGGAGAATCCACCTCCTGCTTAATCTCACAGTAGTACTGCGGGGGGGCGGTGTTGCCGCAGGCGTCGGGGGGCAAGGCCATGTTGCCGGCCAGGGCCAGGCTGAGGGACCTGGTGTTGATGAGCTCCTGACAGGAGGAGGCGATGTTGTTCATCTGCAGCACGGCCGCGGCGTTCAGGACGTCCTGCACATTGCCGGCGTTCACCAGCAGCTTGGAGGTGTAGATGAAGTTGAGGATCTGCTGGAGGCCCTGGGAAGTCAGGGCCTCCAGGGAGAGCTCTACCCGCTGCAGCTGCTTGTTCTGGGTGAAGAGAGAGTGGAAGAACTGGCTGTAGGCGGCCAGGACCCCCTTGTGGGCGGGGAAGATACTCTTCTGCTGAACGAGAACGATGTCCACGTCGCACAGGTCCGGCTGAAACAGGCGCTGCTCGTTCAGTCTGTCCATCAAACACGTGAAGTGGAGGGCTACATCCTCCACCAGAGAGTATTCAGCGGCAGGGTAGTCAGTTGTCTTTTCAACTATCAGCTGTGGGGAGAGAGGAGAGGCAATAATTCAGGACCAAAAAACCGTTTCCGTTAAATGGTCCCTTCCTCCTCCCCCTCCCCCAAACAGAAGCTACATGCCAAGAGAGACAGCTTCACTTCACAGTCAGATCACACATTGACAGCTAATACGCCTGGCTCGCCTCCATGGCTGACAACTTCTCCGCCTCACGATCCGGCAGTCAACCACCTCCCTTGTGTCGTCCCTTCACAATTCTGAACATCAGCCCACTTCCATAAAATGCTTTGAGATCCCTGTATGCCCGGCACCTTGCAAGCATCAAGCTTTATTATTATCTGTGGTGGTGGATCTTTGCCCTGAGAGAACAGGATGTCCCCCTCGCCTCACCCACCCACCCTGGTTAGTGGTGCAGTCTGAACTGGAGACCTCCGACTTCAAAAGCATGAAGCTCTACTGCCGAGGCTGAAAACCCAGGTCCATAAATGCAATCGCTGACTGAAAAACAACAAATAGTCCAGGGACACCTGAGAGACTAACAAAAATATAGATAGTGTTATGAGCTTCTGTGACAAGCTCGACTCAAATCTTATTACAAGGCCCGGCCACTAGAATGAGACAAAGCCCCCGTGTTGACGTTAGCACAAGTTCCTTGAGAATCTGGCTCCACCAGTGGTTCTCAAATTTTTATACTGGAGACTCCGTTCATGCAACAATCCCCTCCCCCCGCTCCTTATAAAACTCTTTTTTATTGTCTGTCTCTCTCTATAAAAAAGTTTTTCCTGCCAGGCGACAGAATGACGTCATCAAATCATCAGTCACAACAGGCTCTCTTGAAGCAAAAGTAGCCGCAGAGAGGGGGTTGGCGAGCATAGCAAGCAGGGGGCGCAGCCCCCTAGTATATATTTAACACCATTATACATGCTGGAGACAAAGTGGGGTTTGTGGTGGAAGCGGACAACTCACGAACTATGTCATAACCCCTTGACTCCCTTTAGGGGCCCTAATCCTCAGTCTGAGAACCATTGGGCTACGCAGGCTCTTCCACAGTGTGAAAGGGGAGATCAGGAGAGTTCTGTGGAAGCTGCCAGCCATTTATGATAAACACAATTGTGGTTTGTGGCTCAACTGACACCTGCTCCCTGGAATCTGGATTGAGACAACAAACCTACGTCGTCAGAGATGGCGGAACGCCCTCCCCCCATCAACTATCCGTCATTACGTTCCAACGCAGCCACTGAACGGGCCGTCATTACGTTCCAACGCAGCCACTGAATGGGTCAAAATGGTCCTTCAAAACAGAAACCAAGGAGCACCTGAGGCACTAAGCAAATGGGCAGAGTCACAGCTGGACTATGCGGATACAGAATGCCCCCATCACACGGCCGGAGTCTGGGCTCGGATTGAGGTCCGTCTCCACTACAGCACGTTTAATTCTAGTGTCTTCATCCCTGCTGTGCCACAAGCATGAGCCACAAATGCCCAGAAGGAATGGACGAATTCCCAGTTGTGCCTTAACTGTGCTGGGCAGAGGGACAGAGCATGCAGGTAAGGGACAGAGAGGACTTTAAGCTCTCTTTGCACTCCCCATTATGGCTGGTCAGTGTTTTTCATTCAAAAATGTTTTTCCCCTCCCATGAAAAAATGGCTTTGTTGTCAAAACAGAAACCTCCTCGGGAAGTATCAGCTGCCAGCAACATTCTTTGGGTTCTCAATGTCAAAATAAAAGCTGAACAATTTCAGCCCCCCAAATCAAAATATTTCTGGGTTGGGCTTTCTTTTGGCAAAGTGAAACAAAAACATTTCAGCAGAAAAAACCCCCCCCCCCTAGTTTTGACCAAAAATGAGGATTTTTCAGGTTTTTTTTTTTTTTTTTTTTAAGAAAATGGGGGAAAGTTCTTTTACAGAACAATTTCAACAAGAAAAAAACCAAGATTTTTCATTTTCATCATAATTTTTTGCAGGAACAAAAGATCATGGCCCATCCAGCTCTATTCGCTGTATTGGTCAGGGACCTGCACAGGTCTCTCCATACAGCAGAGCAGCCTCCGGTCGACACGAAGAAGAGAACAGTTTTCATGATCACGCCCCCAATTTGCCTCCTAGAGCTGGTCAGAAAATGGGCTTTTTTCTACAGAAAACGTTGATGAAAAAAAAGAATCATTTTTTCCCAAACCCCAAACAGTCAACAGAAAAATCTGAAACACAAACAAATTTAGCCTAAAACAAAAATATTCCATTTTGGATGCACTGCTCCAGAGCCTCATAGGAGTTCTCGTTCAGGTACGGCATGCTTCCATTTTTCCTCTTTAGGCGGGTCTACCCAGTCTAACAACATCTCCCATGATACCATTTGTGGCTTTCCGTAAAAATATTTCAATTTTGGGGTCCATGAGTTTGTTTCCATTCCACCCTCCCAAACAAAAAAACCCAAACAAACCAACAAAAAAGTATGAGTGGAAAACAGATAATTTCTGAGAAAAATCTATTTGAACCGAAACCCTTATTTTCCAGCTAAACAGTTCTGATGGAAAAATTTCCACCAGCTCTTTCCTCCTATGCTGGGGCTCTGAGCAGGGCTGGCAAGGAGTTACTACACCCCAGCCAGGCAGCCTCACTACACAGTAGAGCATGTTCCACCCACTTTAAGGCCCTTTTATGTTACTACAGTGGCTTAAAGGAGTCTTAATTGAAGTCAGGCCTGCTTTCTTAGAACACTTTATAGCTTTAGCCCCTTGGTTCTTTGTTTCAACTGATCAAAAATCCACCATAATAAAGTAGTGAGATAAGAACATGCCCAGGAGAATCTAGGCCTGGATGCTAGACAGGCATGCATCGTTAGCCCCCCCCTCCCGACAGCACTCGCTAATCTCACTTATTAGAAGTGTTGTGCTTTTTATTCGCAAGCAGTGGATTAAAGACGCCTCCTAACAACTGCCCTGAGAAACAAGCAGCAATGGGCTCCCAGCGAAAGTAATTCCCAGCCACATCTGTGAGCAGCAATTACCTTCTGTCTTCCTTTGGTCCTGGCAGAGAAGCAGCAGAGAGGAGGGGAGGGAGAGACAGAGTCAGAATCTGTCAGTGACCTAGAACTTTGGACGCTTTCCCTGCCTCCGGTACAGTCCTAGCTGTCCAAGATTTTACTAAGGCATTGATCTTCACGGTACCCAGATATGCGTGTGTGTATAAACATATATATGAAATAGCCCAAATACCCAATTCCATTAAGGACTGGTGACTTTAAGCCTAACAAAAATTTCTAACCTGGGTGGCTTGAAGTGAGGCACCTAACTTCTTACTGCAGGCACTTGATTTTCAGAGATGATAAAGACTCAGTTACTCACAAAAGGAGCTGAGCCTCTGAAAATCAGGTGTCTAAATAAGAACGTAGTGCCTCACTTTAAATACCCAAATCTGAATATTTTGGGTAAAATTTGCAAAAGCCCCATTTTCCACAGCGACTCAGGAACCTAAGTTCCATGGACAATTTCAAATGTTACTCATTAGCCTTAGGACAAATAAAAGGAAATATGTACCCGCAGGCGCGCGCGCGCACACACACACACACACACACACACACACACACACACACACACACACACCACCTACTCACCTGTGGAACTCACTGTTGCAGGACAGCAAAGTAAAATACAACAGCTAGTTTGTTTTAAGAAAGGCATGGTCATTCTTATGATCCACAACTTTTATTTTCATGCAAGAGAAGGTCAAGGTAATCAGATTCATGCTTCAGGGTGGAAGCTGTTGTCCAGAGGGGTCTGGAAGAAAATATTTCACCACCACAGAGTACAGCATTGCACAGCTGGCTAAGTGCCTTGTGCGGTGCCCTTATTTTTGGAGATGCTCGCATCTCTACCTAACCCTTCACCACGTATGACCATATCTCTGCAATCAAGATCGTGCAGAGCTTGGACAGGATCAGCTCATGGCTGAAGAACAGCTGGCGGAGCAGAACCAGACAGAAGTCATGTTGATGGGCAGAGGAAAGCATTTTGAGGAGTCTGCAGACAGCACGGTGCAATCTCCTTTGGTTAACAACCCTCCTCCCCCGCTCCCAGCCATAGGTCCATTCAGCCCAGGGTTTAGGAGTACAAGTTGGACCTCCCTGGTCCAGCACAGTCCCGAATGAGATAATCCCCTGCCACTGGCCCCCAAGCCCACTGCCTGCTGCCGTCAGTGTGTCCCACAAGCACCCTGTCTCCCTCTCCCCCCTCCTCAACCTGGCTAGGCTGCTCGCCCAGCTGCTTCCGGCTCCCCTAGGTGGCTTAGACTCTGGCTCCTGCTGTGGGGCTCCGGTCCCAGTCCCACGCTCCCAGGGGACTGCCAGGAGACTCCAGTCCTGGCCCCATTTGCCACGGGCTGCCAGGGGCTCTAGCCCCGGTCCTGCGCTGCTCCCAGCCAGGCTACCAACCCTGGTGCCTTAGGCTCCATGGATGTTGTTGGACCAGAAATTGCCTGTTTTCGGAGATACAACCTGTCCTTATGGGTTCCTTGCTCATGCCAAGCTTTCACAGAACAGCAGCCATGAATAACGCTTCCTAACATCTCCAATTGCCTAGCAGACTGTCTTATCCTGGCCTATGGTGACCTAGCCTCAGTTATTCATGCTTCTTAGCTGGCCTAAAACTATGCAATATACCGGGGCGTGGAAACGTCAGTGCTTAGGAAACTCCAACTAGTACAGAACGCCGCATGTTTCCTCATCAACACAGTCTACCACGAACCATCAAGTCCGTCCTCTGCTCTCAACACTGGGAGAACAGGAATTCAGGCTCAAGGTCTCAGTCCGTATCTTCCAGGTGCTCGCTCAATGGAGCTCTAGAAGGCCGTCTAAAGCGCCACCACGAAGACCACAATGCTGCTCCACTGGCCTGATGGAAATCTCTAGGAGTGGGGTAAAACTTGCCTGCGCTTTCAGCGGGAGACAGCGCTTTCAGAGGGGCTAGCTGGAGACTGTGAAATGAACTCCCTCAGGAGTTGAGGGCCGTTACTAACCTCCCCG